AGTAAAAAAGAAAGAATGATTGTATATCCTCTTCTGAGAAGTGTCTGTTCAGGTCCTTGGCCCATTTATTGATTGGGTTATTTGGGGTTTCTGTGTTTTGTTTCATGCTTAGCTTTTTGAGTTCTTTATATACCCTAGAGATTAGTGCTCTATCTGATGTGTGAGGGCTAAAGATTTGCTTCCAAGATGTAGGCTCTCTATTCACCTCACAGATTGGTTCTTTTGCTGAGAAGAAACTTATTAGTTTGAATCCATTCCATTTATTGATATTGGTTTTAATTTTTGTGCTATAGGAGTCTTATTAAGGAAGTTGGGGCCTAATCCCACATGATGAAGATCAGGGCCTACTTTTTCTTCTATTAGATACAGAGTCTCTGGTTTAATTCCTCAGTCCTTGATACACTTTGAGTTTTGTGCATGGTGAGAGATAGAGGTTTAATTTCATTTTGTTGCATATGGATTTCCAGTTTTCCCAGAACCGTTCATTGAAGAGGCTATCTTTTCTCCAATGCATGTTTTTGGCACCTTTGTCTAATATAAGATAATTGTAATTATGTGTTGTCCTCTATTCTGTGCCACTGGTCTACCAGTCTGTTTTGGTGCCAATACCATGCTGTTTTTGTTACTATTGCTCTGTGGTATAGTTTAAAGTCTAATAGTGATGCCACCTGCTTCACTTTTCCTGCTAAGGATTGCTTTAGCTATTCTGGGTTTCCAGGCAGAATGGTAGCTATTAACGCATACAAACAACAATTAAGTATAGGCGAGGATGTGGGGAAAAAGGTACATTCATACATTGCTGGTGGGACTGCAAATTGGTGCAGCCAATATGGAAAGCAATATGGAGATTTCTTGGAAAACTGGGAATGGAACCACCACTTGACCCAGCTGTCCCTCTCCTCGGTCTATACCCAAAGTACTTAAAAACAGCATATTACAGGGACACAACCACATCAATGTTTATAGCAGCACAATTCACAATAGCTAAACTGTGGAACCAACCTAGACGCCCTTCAGTAAATGAATAGATTAAAAAAATGTGGCATATATACACAATGGAATATTACTCAGCAATAAAAGAGAATAAAATCATGGCATTTGCAGGTAAATGGATGGAGTTGGAGAAGATAATGCTAAATGAAGTTAGCCAATCCCAAAAAACCAAATGCCGAATATTTTCTCTGATATAAGGAGACTGATTTATAGTGGGGTAGGGAATGGGAGCATGAGAGGATTAGATGAACTCTAGATAGGGCATAGGTGTGAGAGGGAAAGGGAGGGGCCAGCAGGTTAGTAAGGATGGTAGAATGTGATGGACATCATTATCCAAAGTACATGTATGAAGACACAAATTGGTGTGAAAATACTTTATATACAAACAGAGATATGAAAAACCGTGCTGTATATGTGTAATAAAAAAAAGAATTGTAATGCATTCTGCTATCATTTATTTTTAAAAAATCGATTAAAAATTTAAAAAAAATAAAAAGAAAGAATGAATGAAGAAGACAAAAAAGGAAGAAGAACCTGTATAATATATTGTCCAAGAAGGTTAAAGTAGAGAGAATTCAAGGAAGGGGAGATAGCAGTATCAAATGAAAAAGGGGTGAAGGTGTTTGAGAATTGCCAAAAGATCACTGACTTTGACAATGTGGAGGTGTCTTAGCCCATTTTATGTTGCAATAACAAAATCCCTGAGACTGGGTACTTCATAAGGAAAATAATTTTACTGGGTTCATGACTCTGGTATATGGAAAGTCCAAAGAGCATGGCACCTCTATCTGTCTGCATCACAACATGACAAAGAAATGCAAAGCAAATAAGTCACATGCAGAATGGGCATGTGTACAAACAAGGAAGCTGTAATAATCACAAAACCACCGCAGTCTAGTACAATTTAGCATAGAGGTAAAAGGCCTATATTCCTTTGGAAAACTGTAATAGAGTATTAAAGTATAGGGGCCAGGCTTGCTGTTTTATAACAAGCTGCTCTCCTGGGAACAATTCAATCCTGCAAAACCCAACCCACTTAGAGAAACCAGCATTAATCCATTCATGACCTAATTACCTTCGTCTAGGCCTCATCTCTTAAAGGTTTAATCACCTCAACATAGCAATACTGGGGACCCACACTGCCAACACATAAACCTTTGAGGGACAAACCATATCCTAATCATACCAGAAGTCAATAGTGACCTTTAAGAAGTCAGTTTTAGTACAAAAGGAAAGCAGCAACTTGTGGGAAAAGGGCAACACAGGAGAGATGGGGAAAGAAGGACAAAAGGCTTTGTAGTGAGCATCTGAAACTACAATTCATTTGCAGCTTCACTTCATTTGTAGTGAAGGAGAGGGAATGGGAAAATTTTGACTTGATATGGTTAGAGGTTCAAGTGATGCAATGGCTGTACATGTATCTCAGTTTAGAGCTGCAATGGCTTCTAACTCCTATAAACACTTCCAACTCTACTTTTCCTCTTTGCCATGATTAGGAAATGGTGAAGGAAGAGAGAAGTTCCTATTCACAAAGCATCTTCCTTCTTCCCTTTGTCTAACACTGCAGAGGAAGAATATGATAGTATAAAGCCATTTCCCATTTACAATTTCACAAGATTGCCAGTTGAACAATTACAACAAACTCCGTGTATATTAAAACCTCATTAATTTGGACTACACGCATTTGGAATTTGTAGTAATTTAACCTGGGCTGGAGTTACCTTTGTACCATTTACAAAGAAAGGGTTAACTAAGTAAATAGTGTGAACAAGATTTTAAGGGAGATAATTTAGCCTGCCAGGGGCTTATTTCACCTATTTTAAACAACAGACTGTTTTTTAAAGAACTTCAGTATATTCACTATTTGAATGCAAATTGATTCTACTAATTATAGATCAGTGTAATCTGCTGTTAAAAAACCTATATCTGCAATAGTTAACTTTGCTCTTACCAAGTATGCTCATTAGAAACAAATTGACAATTCTTTAAAGTTAATTCATAATTTAGATTAATGCATACCCCTTTTCCCTACCCCCATGAATTAACTATAATTTAGGGGGTTTTACCCTGAATTAGCACATCGTTTATGAATACAGTGGAAAAATTAATAAGTGATCAGAAAGACTTGAAGCAGCCAAAATAGGTGTTTTAAAGTTGATGTACTAAAGCACATGCACTCTATCCATGACAGGTTCTACTGATAGCTGATTTAGCTCTTGCTTAACATACTAATATAACACATCAACTGGGAAATCTGGGTGGGTGTTTTTAAGTTCATAACTAATTTGAAGAAGGAAAAGGGCTGCTATATGAAGGGACACTGAGAGCAATAATAAGTGACAGCAAACTGCAGAAAGGAAATAGGACTTATATAAAATGTAGCTATAGTAATCACAAAACCACCACAGTCTAGCACAATTTAGCATAGAGGTAAAAGGCCTATATTCCTTTGGAAAACTGTAATAGAGTATTAAAGTATAGTGCAATAACTAATGGCTGCAATTATGCCCCTAAATGATCAAATAAATTTAAATTATGTTGAATCTATGCCTTAAAAAGCAGATAAGTTTACACATGCGCGCATACATGCACACGTACATGCACACACTCTCATACACACAATTCGTACCTGTAATGACTAACCTAAAAAATGTGAAACATGTTGATGTTTCAAAAGAGAGGTTCATAATATTATCATATAATAATGATTATGATAGCAAAATAATAGCAATATTTATTAAGTAGTTACTCTGTACAGATAGCAAGCTAAGTACTTTACCCTACAAGATTTCAAATAATTCTAATAATACAAAAAGGTAGGTTTTATTATCACTTCTACTTTACAGTTGAAGAAGTGAAATTCAGAGAGGTTAAGCAACTGACTGCAGGCCACAGAGAAAGACAGAGCCAGGGTTATAACAGGCCAGTTCCTTGGTTGTCCATTATGCCTTTCCATACTCCAGAAAATACAGCTCCTTTCTTGAGGGCACCATACAGTTAATATTTTACTGCATTTTTATTTTCCAAATTCAATCTTAACAAATGTATTGATTTATAAGCAGAAATATGTATAATCTAAGAAACAGATATAATATTATATTTATAAACATGCTTCATTGCTCAAGATAAAAGTGAAGGCAATAGTTAAAAAAACAAAACAAAAAACCGTATTGAACACATCTATTATATTAGGTCCATTCCAAAATCTCAGATCAGTCTTTGTGCACTGGGAACTCTATTTGCAAATGAATAACCAAGCAACAAAAAGAAGAAATGTAAAAATATCAAGTAACCAGTCAATGTCTGGTTCTCCTATTGTTTCTCATTCCTTTTGGGGAAATTTAAGATGAAAATAGGCCAATGGGACTTGAAGGATGGAGGAAAGATTAAGGGGAGACTAAAAATTCAGTTGGCTATTATAGAGGATTTAGGAAAATCTGTTTGCCAGCTGTTCTAAAAGAATTGTAAGGACATAAAAGACATATGGGCATGGTATGTATTGGGAGGAAGAGAGGCGGAGGTGTGGTGATACAAATATATGCAGCTAACTGTGTTAGAAGTTAAGTGAGATAGCCTGCCACATGTACATACAAAGACAAATGTACAGTGAAACAGGCACTCCTGTAATTCCTTCTACCTAAACCAATGATCTTTATTCATCTCCTCTTATCTCAAGTCTACCCATTCTTCAAGGATCAGCTAAAAATGTCACTTCTGCCCTGAAGCATTCTATAATCCCTAAAGCTAAATCAAATTCTCCCTAATTTCTGCTCCCATAGGTTTTAATCCCCTTAAGCACATTGATACAGCACTACTGATGATACTCTCATTGTTAGAGTTATTCATAACTGCTCTCCCCTCCCATCTATTCCCTCATGAGGGGAGTGGTTCTTCCTCATTTCTGAAGCTCCTCCAAGTTCTGGCACAATCCCTACCACATACTAGGCTCTAGGAAAATGTTGATTCAATAGCACTGACTTAAGACAGTGCATTATCACCTAGCTTACCTGAAGGAGTATTTGTTCTCTTTCTTTTCTTGCTTGATTCCCCTCCATTCTCAATGAGGCCTTCTGTGACCAGAGGGCCACTGGCACTACCAAACTGCAGGGGCTCGTTGTTGTTGGCAGGGTCAAAGGGCAGCTGGTTCAATCCTAAAGAAGAAAAAGAAAGCCAAAGTCCAGACTCCATTAAGGACTGGGATCATCTCCAGATTTTATTCTATGAGCCAGTAGTGACCTTTTAGGTCTCAAGATCCTAGGAGTTAAGAGTGAATTCCTCAGATAGTTGCCCTGTGGAATTTTTATAGATCTTATTGACAAGTACATAATTAAAATATAGGATAGCAGCTCTGTTACTTGTTAGATCCCTCCTGTTTCTGTGAGAACCTAATATTTCTGTCCACGAGCTAGCAAATATTTTCTATTTCCTCCCTTAAAAAGTAGGATCAGCCAGGCATGGTGACACATGAATATAGTCCAGCTACTAGGGAAACTGAGGAAGGAGAATCACTCAAGTCCAGGAGTTCAAGGCCAGCCTGGGCATAATCAGACTCTGTCTCAAATAGAAAAAAAGATAGGCCCTTCTTTAAATGTACCTATAGCTGGACCAGCTCTTCCTTTGATAAAGCTTGGCTTTGTATTTTTTGGATTATCTCCTGACATTTTTTCATTATTTCATTACAAGTTTTGTTGAAGTGATACAGAAATAATTATTATAATGTCCTGATGTCAAAGTCACTGCTGATGATATCATGGAGGTTTCTTAAAAAGTAAACCATAAATCCATGGCAATGGCAATATGAGAAAAGAAAACAAAAAGACATTGTCACAGAGGGGTTACTCAGTCACTGTATTGATATGAAGTTATGACCCAGGTTTGGGGGGTTTTAATCTCATTTTCTTCAAATGCTATCAGAAGCATTGTCAATTTACTAGCTACTGCTATGCCATATAAGATGACAAAAGGCATTTTCTACTCTCTAACCCTTATATGCTTCAGTCAGGGGTGATCAGAGATACTTTCTTAATCCTCTGGCAGCAGCACCTAGAGTTACAAGTGTTTCAATTAAAACTTCTTGAAATATGGAATCAAAAGATTTGTTAAATACCAAAGTAAAGACATCTCTTCTTAGCCTTTTATCCACTAGTTCTCTAATCCTATCAAAAGGGGAATCAGGTTAGCCTGATAGAGTTCATTCTTCAATTTCCATTTTTTCTATGGCCTATAGCTTTACACTTCTTCAGATAAAGTTGCAAAATATCAATAAAAAGCTTGGAATCCAGACAGCTACAGGTCAATAAAATTTCAATAAAATGAATACAAGTTTTAACAAAATGAATTCCCATTATTGTTTATAATAAAGACTGTCCCCTTGTTAATGTTTTCAGCCTACATAGAAAGTACTATTTCTTTAGCAATCAGATTCCACTTGAAACACCTCCATTAAATGGCCTTTGGGATTTGTCAAACATCTTTCCTTTACATCATGTGAGTAACTAAGTGAAAGGATAAAACTTGCTTCTATATCTTAAGTCAACTATTCAGTACATCATATCCATGTCCTATTAAAATATCTAGCATGGCTGGGTGTGGTGGCACACACCTGTAATCCTAGTGGCTCAGGAGACTGAGGCAGGAGGATCACAAGTTCAAAGCCAGCCTCAGCAACTTAGTGAGGACCTAAGTAACTTAGCAAGACCCTCTCTCAAAATAAAAAATAAAAGAGCAAGGGTGTGGTTCAGTGGTTAAGTGGCTCTGGGTTCAATCGGTGAATCACCCCCCAAAAGAAAATCTCTACTATGACTAGAACTATAAAAATATGTATATTAGAAAATATTGAAGTCACAACCAAGATTATTTTCAAAATCTACATTTTATATCATTTAAAAATGAAGATTTTTCTTGCACCTGAGTAGTCCAAAGTCAAATATGATAAGTATATTATTCCAAAACTTTCCTTGGCATTTCTTTTTGCAGTATCATACTGATCAAAATAAGTTCTATGGAAAACAGAATGGTATAGTGGAAAGAGTGTGCTAGATTGGGGTTCAAATCATGGTTACCCTTCCTACTAGATAGCTTTCGGCAATTCATGTAGTCTCAAACCTAGTTTTCTAATATAAAATGGGGAGACATAAGACTACACAAGGTTATTGCAAAGATTAACAAACATAGTTATGATAATTATATAATTCTAAATGAATTAAAATAAATTAAATGAATTAAAATAAACGATAAGCTTATAGGTTCTTCTAAGGAGAAGCTCTCTCCCTTCACCTCACTCCTCCCACAACTATATTCCTTATGCCTAGCACCATATCCAACATATAGTAAATGTTGAATTAATTAATTAATCCTCAATAAGTGGGAGTAGGTGACACATCATATTAACCCATGTAATTAGAGTAAAGACTTGGCAGCTGATCATCAAGAATTAATGCCACAACTGAAAATTTCTGATGCTGATTATAGCAACATTACTTAAAACAGATTTTCAATGCATCTCTCTCATTTGAGTACTATACAGCAAAATGGGGGAAATCCTGATTAAAAGGAATGCTCAAGGATCAGGAGGTTCTGATTAATGTTTTTTAATCATAAAAGTCTTTCTTATTTTGTCTTGCATTTGATAATTCACAGAATAATATATCAGTCCACTTCCATGTCCTATTAAGTAGATGACTGAGGATCTTACAGAGTTTCAGAGCAGTACCTAAGTCATAGGACTTGGTAAAAGTATTAAATGAGATCATATATGAGATCATATAGGTAGAATATTCTATACCACATCTGGCACACAGTATATGTTCAATAAACACATAAATGTATATTTTTTATAAATGTATATTTTAATCGTGTCTGGGGTGTGGCCCTGATCTCCAATTCCTGCTTTCACCCAGACTGCCACTGCTTCCATTTTCCTTTGGGATGAACAGATGAATCGTCCAGGGTGGGCCTGGGTGCTGAAGCTAAATGGACATGGTAGGCTCAATAAATATTAACTGCTACTGTTATAATACTGAATTTCCATTTTAAATCTCTCACATTGTTGATATATAATGTAAAGAGATAAATCTGAATTTTCCCTGATCCAAGGATATTGCCTGATTTTCCCACTGAACTTTTTCATTGCTATTTGTATCTTTTTGAAAAAGTTTAAGGAGTCCAGGAAAAAAAAATCTGGTGAACTAAATTGTTCTTACCCTTTATTTTGTCCCAGATGATATCTTGGGGTATTTGGGTATTTTATTCCTCATGTTAATTTACAGATCCTTTTGACACTGAATAAGACTGAGATTCCAAGTACATTCTGTGTCTTCTTCACCTCATATATAATCCAGATATGTGAAAATCCTGATAATTTGGTATAATATTTTAGGCCTTATTTTTTCTAGGGAAAGATCTCATATCAAGAAGAAAGAGACATCTCACTCAGTAACCTGATTCACTGAAAACAAATCCACATTTTATATTATCCAGAACCCAATATAGTATCTAAAGATTTATAGTTCAAGAGCAAAGGCTATAGAAATAGCCAAATCCTATGATACCAGAAAATCCTAGCTACTTTTATTGTATTGTTTCATTCTCCCCCCTAAGACAACAACCTACTTACAGGATCTTTCTGTACTGTATATATGTGATGCATGCTAAATGTTATTTAAAATAAGATAGCTCCATTAAAATTATTTAGATCCTAAAAAGAAAACTACCACTTTAATTCCAAGAATTCTTGCTGGAAAAATTTCAATGATGACATAAACATAAAAGTATTACCAATTACCATACTGTAATTCTCACCCAAATGATATAGTTTAATCTTTAATCTCTTATGGAAGCAATTCCTGGCATTTTCTACTAGAAATGATGAAATGGAAAGTATTATTAGGAAGAACTTTTGAGGTCATCTAGTTCATGCTCAGCAATACAGAAATCTTGTCTACCTGATTCCTGAGAGGCTTGGGGCACTTTTTTGCCTGGGGTCCATTCCTTGCTAGGCTCCTAGGCATTCAGCTGGCTTTCCTTTTAAAAACTACTACCCACATGATTTGGGGGATTCCTTTTATTTCCCCCAAACTGCTTATAATCCCTAGAATGAGTACATGAGATATTTAACTTTTTAAGCATTCTACTGATAGTGGCTGCAAGAAAAACAAATGAAGAAGTGAAAGACACCTAACAGAATAAAGTCAGAAAATTTCTAGTCTTAAAGCATTTCTCATAGTCCTTGCCCTTTTATTCTTTTTTTTTTTTTAATATTTTTTTTTTAGTTCTCGGCAGACACAATATCTTTGTTTGTATGTGGTGCTGAAGATCAAACCCGGGCCGCACGCATGCCAGGCGAGCGCGCTACCGCTTGAGCCACATCCCTAGCCCCAGCCCTTTTATTCTTAAGGATAAACTTAATAAAACTTGTAGCTTATTCAGTTTTCCCCCTACATCTCATCTTCTTATCCTCCAAGTTTACAAAATTTCAGGTTATTCACAATAAAGTCCAAATTGATAAAATAAAAACAAATAGATCAAAAAATATTAGTGTCATAGATTTCTGCTATTTCTGTACCTTACAGTTACAACCAAACAAATCTATATGGTAATATATTCTTGTCTAAAACCAATGTGACTACTATAGACAACTGAACAGCTGTTATTTCATGTCATGTCAAAATACAAATTATGTGCTGGGTGTATGGTGCACGCCTGTAATCACAAGAGCTCTAGGAGGATTGCGAGTTCAAAGTCAGCCTCAGCAAAAAGCAAAGCACCAAGCAACTCAGCAAGACCCTGTCTCTAAATAAAATACAAAATAGGGCTGGGGATGTGGCTCAGTGGTCAAGTGCCCCTGAGTTCAATCCCTGGTACCCACCCCCCAAATACCTATTATGTGACTTCACAGCACACAGAATGCCTCTTTAGAAAGTATGCATACCAGGGAAGTGTAGTGGAAGGATTCTTGGAGAATGACATTTCTCATCCAATGTAAGTGGGGAAGTTAAACACCTCAGAAAGAAATCAAGGAGTTCACACGCAATGATGTCTACCATACAAATGCAAATGATTCGTGGGCTTTGAGGAAAGCACTGAATAATTTTCTTGATTCTTGTGAAAGAAGATCAATGATCTTTTTATGCCCAGTGGCTGTAATAGTTAC